ATTGTGAACAAAGAACAATAACACCTCGCGTTTGCTCAAAGAAATACGAACAAAATCACTTGATCAATGCCGAGGTTAATAGAAAGTCGGTCGTGGCTGTTACTATGAAGGACTTTTTATTACGTTTTTTTAATGCGAAGCTGTTAATACTACATATTTCAACTTACTGGGCTAGAAAAAAGACCAGTAGATTTTTCCATTTTCACTTATGGATGGCCTTTCAATTTTTGTAAATTTTTTAGATCTATTAAAAATTGCCGGTTCATTAGAGATCTTCGGAGATTATCCAACGTTTTGCCGTGTTTATCTCAGTAGAGGATAAGTACAAGGATAAAAACTTCGATGTTGTACAATCTCTGAGGAACGCGCCACAAATTCGACCCCATTCCTAGCATTGTAGGGCTGATTGAACGCATATCTTCCCCATATGGCACTTACGGTGGCTTACCTATATATCGAACCAGGTTGATGAATCGAATCGGCCACAAATCCTGTGTGCGTAGCAGGGCTCCTCTAACTATTGCTCTACCTTCTGTAATAGATATTCCAACAAATTTATGTAAAAATTGGCTAAGAAGGATTCTTCCAGGGTTTTATGTGGGATATCGCACCAGAGTTCCATGCTGCCGTCGTCTTCGCTGAACATCGCTTCTACGGAAAAACTCAACCTTATGGCGATAAGAGTTATAATACGACCGATCACCTTGGTTATCTTAGCTCAGAGCAGGCTCTGGCTGATTTTATAATGCTTATCGACCACCTTAAGCAAAAGGTTTATTCTTTTCATAAATAAAAACTTTGTAGAGAAATATGTTTAACATTTCGATATGTTTATAACGTTTATAACGTATATGATTTATAATCTTTCCCAATAAGTATATTTGTGTGTCTTCAATACACGTATTTCATCCATGGCTTCTTAGCCTTTGCTATGACTATATGATCGGAGATATTTCATTTATAGAAACTTAATGGTGCACAGAAATCAGCAGTGATTGCTTTTGGAGGGTCATACGGTGGGATGTTGGCGGCTTGGATTCGGATTAAATATCCGCAAAAAGTCGATGGGTAAGTGTTATGTCTAATGTATAAGAGGTTAAGCGTTCGGTTTTGAACAACTGAGGGATGCACCAGCCATTCGACGCCATTGGTAGCATGGTAGAGCCAACTGAATGCATATCTTGCGTTCGATTTGTTTCTTCGCATACGTCATCCACGAAAATCTTTCACCCTTTTGGGTGTGAATTCGGTTGCCAATTGAAAATTTTCCTTTTGCCGTGAATGTCGCTGAGTGCTGATCAAGCCGATTCTCCATGGAGTCCTGAAACAGTCAAGCTAGAGCGTTGGCAGATAGATTGAAGAAAGCGAGGTTTTTCCAAAGAGATTTGATACCAAACTTCCCTCATCGGAGGGAATAGAGGCTTGATGAGCCCGCATCGAGGTCGAACCAGGACCGTGTTCTTGATGATCGGTACTACTACCACTACTCTACCCACCTTCAATATTGTATAATCTTTACCAATCATATGAGTTGCTCATATATTTTGGATTCTTTTCATATGTAAACGGTTTTTTAATCCAAATTTCTCAGAGCCATTGCCTCATCAGCGCCAGTGTTCTGGTTCATAGATTCGAAAATTCCAGAAGATATCTACGACAAGGTAAGTTTATTTTCCAGTTGCTTGGTAACGAGTAGCATGGTGCAGTATTTAACAGCGACCTAATAGTATTGCGATAATACTAATACTAATGAAACTAATAATAATGGCGTATAGCTGCTGTAGTTCTCCTAACGGTTTAGCGCTTCATGGTGGCTGGGAGGTGTTCCTGAGTACCGTGCAGTGATGTATAGTGGGGGTAGGAGGGGTATATCCCTTAGCAGGGCCTCCCACGCTGAGAAGAAGTCCTGCGTTTCCATCAGGAAGCCCAGCTAAGAGTAAACCAATACCAGGATCCAACACCGTCCTGGTATCAAATTAGTCCCATGGTGGCAAATCTCCCTCTAATCCACATTGGTTGCTACTGCTTGTGGTGGTGACGACCTGTGGCCGACTTTAGCCGGGCTGACCTCGGGACTGTAGGGAACCACAATTGCTAAACCAGCCAATCTCCGAAAAAATGGAGATTATGCTGGGCCCCCGCACAATCAGTGAAGACGGGGCACCTAAGTATCCGAGTAAGTTGCTGTTGTATGTTTATAATAGACAAGAATGCCTGCATACACATAATAGGGAAGAGTAAATATAATACTTTAACTCCCACATCCGACTTTCTATTAACCTCGGCATTGATTGAGTAATTCTTCCTACTTCTGTTCAGCAAACGCGAGGTATTATTTTATTTCTTTATTTACGTACTAATAATACTACTAATAATAATATAATATAATATATATTTAATAATACTTTACCTCTGCTATGGCAAATATTTTGCATTTAAGTTAGAAATTAATGTTGTTTAGTGGTTCAGATTGTTACTCGTTCATTTATGGCGGCAGGCTGCAATCGAAAAGCGATTGAAAAAGGATGGTTAGCACTGCGGAACCTTGCGCAGACAGGTGTGGTATCGTTCATTGATTGACAGGTCGATTGATTCACTAACTAATCGATTTATTAAATGGTAATGAACTGTGGTAATATTCTCTATTATTACTGGCGAATCGCCTTTCTTATAATAGAAGTACAGACTTTTTTCTCAAGAAAAGCTTTTGATTTCTCAATTAATTTATGCTGAATAATTGCCCTGTAGATATCTATTTTCCTTCTTAACGTCGTCTTTATAGCTAATGGTCGATCATACTTGAACGAGGTGTTTCATCTTGAGGAGAGATCTCGCTTAACTTCCGAAAACGACTACAAATTTCTTGCCGACTACATTAAGGATGTGTTCGAGACAATGGCAATGGTGAACTATCCGTATCCCACCGAATTTCTCACCTCATTGCCCGGTTGGCCAGTAAAGGTAGGAAGAAGGAGAGAAGGAGTAAATGAAAGAGACGGGGAGAGAGTAATACACAGGAAAGAGAAGAAGAATAAAGTGGACACGAGCGTTTATTACTTAATGTTAGTCTTCACTCTCTCCAATTTGCTTTAGGACTTGTGAAGATCAATGCTTAGAGATGAAATGCAAAACACGCGTGGTTATACTAGAGTTCTAGGCTTACTTTCAAGTCTTTTACCAACCCGTGTTAGCTTATCAATGAAAGAATGCATCTCGATTAGTCACATCGAGGTTAAAGGAAAGTCGATTATTGAAATAATGTTACGCTCTGTACCAACCGATGGTGATCCCGAGTACTGCAGTGTGAATTGACCCCGAGAAAAACAAACGATTATTCTAGATATTCTTGATGAGCATACATGAGGTGTTACTTTATTTCTTATTGAGAAAAGAGAAGAGTTGACGTTTCGGCAGACTTTGCCTTATTACTCTACTGTGGATGTAGAAATAATATAGAAATGATAGCCTTGCCGTTTGCTCCACGCAAGAGAAAGTTGGCAAATGTTTTGAGCTATTGAATGAACACTCATAGCGCATTATTTTTTCTCGAGAGAAACTGAAACAAAACTGGCCTCCATTTTTGGAACTTCAAATTAGCCTATGCGAAAACGACTACATTACAAAGTGGCACCGAAAGTAAAGTAGTATCAACATACTGGTTTGCTACTTTCCTCTCACCCGTGACACAGAAAAGGGCGTTTGTAAGAAACGTGTTTCGAATAGCCACCAGCATGCGCATATGAAGAAAGCGGAAGGAAGAATCTTTGAAATTGGGGCGGCGAAGAGCTATTTCGAATGGATACGAAACAGCACCCTTTCAGCATAAGTATAGAGGAAGACCTAAGTCCGCAGACGACAATTCTAGTGAGAATAAGGTCGCATTTATCCTGCCGTTCATTTCCAACGAAATAAGTGCAACTATAAAATGTTGCTTAAGGAGGGACGGTACAGAGAATTCGGTAATGGTGATTAAAATGCCACAAAGCTCTCTAAAGCGGCAAATAGTTCGCAACCGCTTGCACGACCGTTTATGTACAGGGCAAAATTTCATAATATTTTATAATATAATAATATAAAATAGAGACGGTGGTTGGGCGAGTTAGGGCGTAGTTTATCTGATCTCTTTTAAAGCGTGCGGGACGAATGCATTGGCTCATTACTCATACTCAGTGGAAGACCACTGGATAGGGTAAGTGCTCGAAACAGCAATCTTTCAATGCGATTGAAATCTTGGTCTAGCATTTTCTGTTTTGGCGGACGTGTTTGGCTGAGTTGATTGCAGTCAACTTGACTTTTCCAGCCTCTGAAGAAGGCTAAATCCGCCGAAACGTCAGCTTGTTGTCAGTGGAGAGTAAAACAACACCTTGCACTTGTTCATTCGGAATATAGTGAATTTTTTGATCAATGTCCAGGTTAATGAAAAACCGGTCTTGGGCTACTGTCAACAACAACCTGTATAAAAGAGCGCTGATGAGTAGGGTCGCCTTATCCGATCGATACACTATTGGATTCGGCTCGATTTGGTCACGAAGACCAATATCGTGTGAAGTAAGAACTGTCGACGATCGACTCAGATCAATCCAGCTCTGAACGAAGCGAAGGGGCCGAAACGTTAAACGAGTAAGGTTTTTATCACCTTCGTTTTATCTTATCAGTGAAAGGATACACGCGGTTGTTTATTTGATCTCGCAGCTGGCCTCCATTGGTTCAGGACCGGCAAATTGACAGTAGCTTATTTGGAAAAGCACATTCTGATCTGTCTCCGAAGAAAAACAATTACAATTAAAGTTTAGCGACTGCGTATAGTGAAGATTTGGGATCACTCTATCAAAGCTACCTTAGGATTTCAGAGAGAACCGTACATACAAGCATTTAATGACGTTCATAAGGAAGACAAGGGAAGAATCAGGTAGCAACTAAACACACGCGTATATATATATATATATATATATATATATAACGCACGCATAAGTCCAAATATCTTCGTGGCTGCCGGATGCATAAAAATGAACCAAATTAAAAGAATACTGTCAGGTTTCGATTTGTCACTAAGTTCGGCTGCTGATGAAAATTTTTAGTATTTATTAAGAACGTAGTCAACTGCTAGTCGAGAACATTCATAACAGAATCCTTTGATAACTGTAGTAGGGCATTCCACTCTCCTCACAGTGGCCGTCGCCAGCTTTTGTGGGTCGAGGGTAGCTTTTCCCAAAGGAGGTCGAACGTCAATTCTGTGACATTGAAGAGATAGAAGATTTGGTTTGCTCAAGCCTAGTTCGAACCAGTGACCCTGCTCGTGTAATTTAACAACATCTCTTCTTGCTCTGCTAGAATAAAAGTGTTTATATGATATATGGCATGTATTTGTGTAGGTATTGTTACTGTTATGTGTACGTCTCCATTATTATTGTTGTTATACACATGTATATATATCTATATAGTGCCACTGATTGCCGTAGACACAGTGCTATTGATTTAGGAAGCCTGTAAATTTCTCGGAAATGTTTCTCAATCAGACGAGGATGCAGCGAGGCAGCTCTTCGAGGTATTTTTTTTACAGTTCACAAAAACTATTGTTATAACTCATTATTACATCACTATAATAATGGCCATGGATCTTCCTCATGCGTGCGGATTTGATCCCGTTATTCGAGGGTCACGTAATATGTTCCATGTTAGCAGAGATGTTAAACGTGGATCAGAGCCGATTCTGTTCATAAATGCATTCAGAGAAAGGGGTAATCAGTCTTCTCCGCGCCAGACCAAGGAAAATCCCAAGAATGGTTCCAAGGACGGCTGAAAGACGTCAGTAGAAGACTCACGATCTAGAACAGAACAAGCAGCGCGAAAGGCTTTTTGAATTCGTGATTACAACTGAAAACATTCATGAAAACAATTCCGGAAGCCGTCTTCCTAATGCTGGAAGTAAGAGTCTTCCATAAGGGAGTTCTATGATAAGCCGACTGTATCACTGTAAATCGAACGTTTTATGTAACTGACGAGGCAGTTGCTTTAAAATTCTTCACGAAGTGGAACCATCTCCTCCATCGTGCAAGATTTACTTTTTCCAAAATAGGAAAGTCTATCTCTCTGGGCTTGGCGAATTGGCGCCAAGGTTGTCTGAAAAGATAACACTGCTGATTCGTTAAGTGTTTTGTTCTCGGTCAGACACGAAGCTGTCAGTAACAAGATTTATTCAATGATAGCAGATCCTTCGGCACCTTTGCCTTATTCAGAACCTGGAAAGGTCAAGTTGACAACCAGTCAACTGAGCAAAAGCCGAATTCCAGTATCTAAATTCCAGGTAGCAGTGATTGAAATACCAGCGAACACTCTAACACTCCAGCTAGCACTTTACCTCTTGCATAACGGTCTATGAATAACGCAACATTCCATAATATGCCCTAATGGTAGAGACGGCGATTACATGACTTCAGATACGGTGGACCCAATCCCTTGTGGAGCCTGCGGAGAGGGACGAATACGTTAGAGAAACATGTAGACAACTCTGTATATTAAAATAAGGTTAGACGGTAAACTTAAAGGTGAACAAAACACGTTGTTAGGCAGACAGGCAAAGAGACAATTCGGAGAAGATTTTGAAGTGAAAGTTATTATCCTCACATAAGGATCTAAAACAACAACGCTTAAAACACTTAAAGAATTTCAGATAAATTTCAAAAATTCATAAATGAGCCGCAGTGAGGAGTGCCTTGTAATCACAAGTGACTTCGCGCCATACCTCAGGCTGGTTCTTTGACCTGAGCTAGGCTCGTTCCTCACGCATGTAAGACTCAATAACTGGAAGACATGAGCAACAAAACGACTAGTTAAACATTTATCTACTGCCTATTCTTTTTTCATGGCACCATATTATGTGGAATGAAGCGACAAAGATACGAGATGTGGTGAAAGAAACTCGGAACCTCATTTGGGCTTCGCACTCGTGTCTAACCTTATTGGGGACTCAAGCACTATTCAGCACACAAACCGAGTAGCTTCCTTTGCCTGTCTTGTAGACAGGTTTTCTACCCCAAAGTGCCATCAGCAGCCACTCGCCTGCAGGAATTTTCTGGGAAACACAAATCGGCATTGAACACAATTGAGATGAGGCTGTAGTCGAAATCACAATGTAACCTTTTTATTTGCTGCCTACGATAATTTTTACAGCATGGTGTGATGTGAAATACAACCATAACGATTGTGAGGTATTCGCAAAACTTGGACCTCAGGCCGGACCGAACCGCGACTTTCCTTTCTGTGAGTTCGTGCATTACACACTGCTCCACGGAGGCCGTTGCTTTGCTTTTTTCTTAGCTAGTTTTCTACCGTATTATAAATTATGTTAGAACTGTAATAGGCAGCAAATAAAAGGTCAACGTTATGACTTCAACTACAGCCTCAGCTTAACTGGGTTCAATGCTGATTTTTGTTCTCCAGAGCAATCCCACTGACGGGTGTTTGCTGATGGCACCGTTAGGTAGAAAACTAGCTAAGAGAAACGCAGATCAAGGGTCTCCGTGGTGTATATTATGTGAGCCCTCAGGAAGGGTAATCGTGGTTCGATCTGGCCCGGGTCTCCAGTTTTGCGAATATCTCAGCGTTGTTATGGTTGCATTTCACATCATACCCTGCTGTGAAAATTATAGTGGGCAACAAATAAAAAGGTTAATCTTGTAAACAATGCCGAGTTTAAAAGAAGGTAGATTCTGGGATTACTGAGCTGATATATTAGCAGGCCACCGAAATCCAAGTACAGGCCAGACATCCATTTAGTAACGTATGCTGGATAACGTCTAATGCATGGCGCATCCCTCAAAAATTGTCCAACGCCATTTGCTTTATCGTTCATCCTTTATCCATGGCCAGTATATAATGGCTTCTAGTATGCACTTGATCACCTTCCCATAGATAAGGAAGGAACTCGTGGAATGGTATAGGAATGTCGTTCAATCTCAGATCTCAACACTTCTTGCATTCGATTTGTTTTTGGTAACATTCATTGTCCACAATGGTTTTTGAGCATTTCGCGCGTAGATTCGGGTGTTACTTGAGAACTTCTTCTTCATATGATTGTCCAAAAATGTTGGTTCAATCGATTCTCTTTGTAATCTTGGAGATAGCTGGGCTAAGGCGCTCCATGTGGATTGGATGGGATGTTGGAGGGAAGGTCGAAGTGGCGCTTTGCTTTCTGCACTTACCACTGCCACTTCTTTCCTTACTCCTTCTCACCAAAGCAAAATATCTGATTGAGGCTACTCAGAAACCGGACGAATTAGCCCTCATAGAAACTAATTCGGCTGGTATCGTCATCGAGGAAGATTTACCATAAGATTGCACTTGTATACTATAGGAGCCGGAAAATTTCTGAAGATTCGTTAAAGGCTAATGCACACACAAAGAAAAGCACCTGAGTGAGTGTGAAGAGTGAAGGATCGAACCAAAGGGCCTGTGTTTAGTGCATGGCACGTATAACTAGTGCGCTATACGTGTCATAGAAAATTAAAAACACAAATGAATGCCTAATAATTTAGGTGATCAACCTTTACTATAACTATACTGGGACGACGAAAACGTTTTGCGCTAATCCGTCGTTTTGTCCGAGTGCTTCCGCAGCTCTTGGTGATCCTATGGGATGGCCATGGCAGGTGAGTGTGTTCGTCTTTTTTCTGAGTAGTTTTGAGTTTTTAAATTTTGGTCTGTGTACCGATTTCGGCAATTTTTTTTCGATAGGCATGTTTTAGTACTGCACCGAAATGGTTCAACCACAGTGCTCAAGTGGATGGCCAAATGATTTCTTCTGGAAGAGTTGTCCATTCACCGTTGAAGGAGCGATTGAGGATTGTAAAGCCTGGTACGTTCTAAAGAACACTGTGCATGAAAATAGTTGTCAGGTTGGGTTAGGGTGGCCCTTATTTAATTCCTATACTTAATAAATTCGCGACAACGCCTAATTTCCATTGGCTACTGCGCGGTTTCTGTTAATAAATGAGAATTTGAGAACGTGAGCTACTGTAAGGAGGATTGCTGCATTGCTCTAATGGCAGAAACGTTTTTTCTAAAATGTTATCTTAATTCTAATTCTTTGAAACTTAACTTTCCATAAGTTGAGAAAAATGTTCTAACCCACCAATTTTTAACGAAAGCAATCACCCGTCAACAGGATTGTTCTGGGGGCCCAAATCAGCAACGAACCCAGTTAAGCTGAGGAGTTTGCCGACCCCGGATGAATAGAAGGCTTGATGACCTTGGGGCTCGGAAGAGAATCTGTGTGTATTGCAGGGCACCTCTAGACACTGCGCTACACGTGCCCTTCACAAAACTTGTAATAGTAGATGCACACAGATCTGTATGGCTTACATTTTCTGCTTTTTTGTCCATATGTGCGTTATATTAGTATTTACATATTTAATTTTCTCATATAGGTATTAGCATTTCTTCCATTCATTTGGCTATCCTACAATGCTTGTGCAATGCGATGATCTGGTGTAGTTTGAGGATATGCCGTCTTCTTTCCTCATTGACGGTCTGTATACTTGTGTATTGTGGTTTTCTTTGGCTTCACGAGATAGCCGTCGATGGAGCTTCCAGTTCTTCACCATATGGGATCAGTTGCCTTCGTGGATCACAAATAAAGCGGACTTACTGCGCGGCTAGAGTTATTCCAAGATGACACGGATTCTTGCGATTGGTCGGACGACTGATAGAGAACGATATCACCGGCGGAATATGACATTTACCAATAAACAAACATTCCACGTTTACCAACTAGACCATCGAGTTGAATCGTATACTTTTTAATTCTGTATAAGTCTAAGCAGCCAACGGGAAGCATTATTTAAAGATTTTAGTTGTTTCAATCTAATTAAAGAACAGACGACCTTTCAGAAATGGATACGCACGAATCCAGTGGAGTTCAGATAAAGTACAAGCCTTTTTAAAGCTCCAACAAAAATTACCCAGAAACACGTACCAGAAAAAATATTGGACTTTGTTAAAAAGCGGAAAGTTTTCGGTGTTGATCAAAAACTCCTTACAGTACACCACAGTTCATCTGATTCGATTCGTTGAATCGTATAGGTGGCTGGATGCATAATTGGCTTGTACAATGCTGTTGGCGTCCTACCGATATATCGAGTATTTTATAACTACAGTAGACCTGAAATATTTACAAAGCACGAACTCAATGCCAGATTCAAACCCGGGATTACCTTTTCCGAAAGCTCACACATTACCCATTTCACCACCGAGACTTTTTCTTTTCCATTCTTTCGGCCAGTTTTTCAACCCAACGATGCTATGAGCAATCACTCATGAACTAGAATAATCTGGAAAGCACAAGTCGGCAATGAATCCAGTTAAGCTGAAGTTGTGGTTGAAATCACAGTGTTTAAGTCTTTCTTTAGTTCCTGCTATTTTTTTAAGGCAGGATGTTACCTGAAATACAACAACAATGCCCAGGATTTACTTTCTATTAACCTCGGCATTGGATTATAAAATCGTCGTTTTCCTTCTCAGCAATCGCGAGGTTGTTAAACAGCGTACGTTTGCTTCCATACCATAACACACATACAACACAGTCGTAGCTGACGTTTCGGCAGAATCGCCTTTTTCAGAGCCTGGAAGGGTACACTAATACGCAACTTAAAATCCTCTCTGAAGAAGGCGATTCTGCTGAAACGTCAGCTACGGCTGTGTTGTGTGTTATGGTATGGAAGTAAACGTACGCTGTTTAACAACCTCGCGATTGCTGAGAAAGAAAACGACGAATTTACAACCACAATGATGGTTAGATGTTTGCAAAACTCGGACTCCAGGCCAAATTCGAACACGCGATTACCTTTCCTGGGATATCATGTGTTTTTATTCTTTCAGACAAATTCCTAAGCACGGAGGGATGGAATACTTGGTGAGCACCGGGCATTAGATCAATCCAACGCCAATGTTTGTTGCATGGCACCTCGAACCACTACATTGCACGCTTTTTTTTTGATAGTTAGCGACAAAATTAGTAAGGTGGCCAGGCCGTATTTACATTTTATCAGCCTTGTGTTTATTTTTAACTTTTTCCAAAGCATCCTTTGTGCATAAAAAATGATTTCAGGTTCGGCAAAATTGGTTTCGTTCGTTCAATGCTTCGCCCTCACTGGATAAGTCAGAATTATGGCGTAGCGTTTCCATCAGCCAGCAACATCGTCTTCACGTTGGTCTCAGTATTATTGATTTAGATGACTATCATTAAAATTCAAACTGTAGAACGAGATCCCATATTTGTTCCTTTTTTTGAGAATTACTTCTTGCTAATGTTATTGAAGGTCAACAGTCAGCGGTTTCTAAAAAATTATCAACTTCTTGTTCCTTCAGTATTTTGACCGCTAAGTTGGTTTTTACATAGTTACTGAGATGGCTGCATAACCTGGGTGGTTCGTCCTCACTGGTTCTGTCGCAGTCTTCGTCTATGGTAGTGGTAGCTTCGAGCATGGCGACTTCTGCTAGGTCCATCCCGACTTCCTGAAAGTGTTTCCATCTGCGAATGCAGATGGTGGTTGACATTACTCACGAACATGTCCACCCATCATTTGGATGGTCATGCAAAACTACGCTTGGATTCTATTGGAATCCACTCCACTGTTCTCTTCGTCCAACTCTCACCTGTTGTTCTTATTACGTGACCGGCACATCTGCGTTTCGCCGTAAATCTATGTTCTTCTGGATTCCGAAGATGGGATAACTTTTGAATCTCTGAGCTGCAAATTCAGGTTGGGTGTTATGAGTGCGTTTAAATTTTAGACGACGTTGCTCAAACGCTCTGTGAGTACTGTGGAGTATTATTGACGTCGCTGAACTATCAGCTCACGTCGCTGCTGCATAACAGAGCGCTGAGAGAGCTATTGAATCAAAAAGGTGAGCATGAAGTTATAGGTCTGCTGCTTCGTGGGTTGATTTTTTGAGAGACCCGAATGCGGTTCATGCTGCTCTTCTTTTGTGTAACTCCTCCTTCATATTGATCCCCATGTTCATCGAACTTCCAACGTTCACGCACGAGGTCTCTGTAATCACTGTCGCAGAGCCATTTATTTCGATTTATTTGGCTTTCTTTTTCATGAACTGTGTGTTGCGCCGATTTATTTGTAGTCTGAAATTTTTTATGAGCCTCTTGATCATCAGCTCTGCTTTGTTGATACCCTTTGAGAAAACGACGATGTTGTTGGTGAAACAAAGATTTGATAGGAATTTTCGATAATTACGTAGACAATGTTTAACGTTTTGTTTTCTGCCTTCTATAATTTTCATGGCAGGTTACTAAGTAAACGAAATACAACCACAACGTTGCTGAGATATTTGCAAAACTCTGGACCGCAGGTGTCTATGGTGGGGAACGAACGCGCTATTGTCCTTTCCGGGGAGTAACGCGTTCACCACCACACCATGCGGGTCCTTTGTTTCGCACGTCTCTCAGCTATTTCTATCGATCTTTTTGCCACAGCAATCACCCGTCAGCGGGGTTGATCTGGGGAGCGCAAATCGGCATAGAACCCAGTTAAGCT